CTCTTGAAGCAGTCTCTCAGGCCATCCATTTTCGAGGCACACAAGAAGTTTATGACACAAATTGGACACGAATGGGACACCGACCTGGATATTCTTAATTTGGTATGTAGTTTGTGCCTTACTTACCGTTCCCCTAAGTTTGTGTAGACTAATTATATGTGTTTTTTTTGTATACAGTTATCGACTATAGTCCTCTTCGACCCGAACCGACCCAACATTATCCATAAGGATATGATTGCGTAAGTGTTTTATTATGTGTTTTATATATAAGTTTTTGTAATTAGTATTTTGTTAATTATGTTGTTTTTTAACTTTTCACTTACGGTATAATGAGATTTGTAATTCTGCATTGAATATCATATCATGATACTACAACTATATGTACTAAACTATTAGATAATGTATTTTAGCATATGTTTTCATTTTTATAGAAATGTTATTAAGTTTATTAAACATGTTTGTTCTTAACGTATTATTAGGTTAGTTTAAAAGTGCAAAAATATTAATAAAAGTACAAAAATATTAATAAAAGTACAAAAATATTAATAAAAGTACTGTAATATTTTTTGAGGTCTGTTATTTATTTAAAAAGTACTCTAATTTTAATGAATATGATAAGTTGAATTGAATTTTGTATAATAGAAACACATGTCATGTTTACTTACCCTGACAAATATGGTACGATTAAAAATAGCATTTATAATTAGTATGCACTAAACTGAATGTTCCCGTAATGTTCACAAAAACGGACATTTATTACACAACTACTGTATTAACTGATATTGAATACAAAAGTCAAATACCATAGATATGATGCACTAAAACAAATCTCAACTAAGTAAACTTGATCTCATGCAAAATATTTATCACCCTGGTATACAAATCAGAAATATTAATCTTCATGTGCACTTATTCTCACCAATAGGTTCGAGCATCAAATCAATAAGTATTTACTTCAACGCTATTTAGAGATCAAATACGGGACCAAATCGGAGGCCAGAGATAAATACATGCGACTCATGAAGACGTTGGATGAGCTCCATGTGCTCAACGAGGAGAACGTCCGCTACCACCTGGAGGTCGACCCCCGAGAGATCGGACCCCTTCTCATTGAGCTCTTTGATCTAAAGCCTTAAGCGCCTCCTATTTTATGATACGATATGATTATTATTACATAAGACGTATACATACTGTGTATATAGATATACAACTAATTTATTAATTTTCTACACTTTACTTACCTGTTGACTAAGAAATTGTTAGGAAATTCAAAGCAATTTTATTATATTATATAAATATAGTTTGGTTTTTATGTTAGCTTTATGTAATTGTATTTTTATACCCTTCACACCCCCACCCCAGCCGCCACCACCACACCTCACATACACATACATACAGTTTTATATAATTGATTATAGTCAATAATGTTATATAAATCTCTTATCATTTCATTTGATATGTGTTTTTCTATTTAAAAAGAGTGTTTCGTTATCTATAATAAATAGTTACCATCTAATGGATGATACGTACCGGTGCTATAGTTACTATTAAAAATAATTTAATTGCATACCAGAGTTTATTGTATAGTTTTATGTTTATGATTTAATACATGTATTTTATAAGACAATTGTGTTTTTCTATAAAAATTGATTATGATTATAAGATTATTATAATTATTGTTGATATGGTTTTATATAAATATAGAAAATAATATATATATACAATAAATTATATTTTTCTACAAAAATTATAATCAATAGAAATATATGTGAATAGATTTTATGCTCAAGTCAAATTCAAAACACACATTAAAAATCCTTAAAATAATTTATTCTTGTTAATTTATTGCATTCAAACACATTATGGGAATATACTGCAAATGACAATCACATACAAAACAAATCATATATTTATTTAGGCTGTCCTGGTCCATATACGAATGGCCTGGTTTTTAGGGCGCACCTCCACGTTGGACACATCGAACTGCCAATACCAGGGCCCACCCGTAGCGCCTACCTTCAACTTAGCGAAGCCTCCCTTAGCGATAGGATCGCTCTTATCCTTATAGCCCGTAGCGTCGGTCATCTCCATTGTGGTGAGTCGGGGAGAGGCCTCTTCCTGCACCTGACCAAAGGGTGCCGCAGTCCCTCCTACTACCCTGAAGAAGACCCCGGCGTGGTCGGCACTGGTCTCCTTCCAGGTGTACTGCGGCCACAGGGCTGTCGGCTCTTTCGTGTTGGGCAACTGGGCGTACGTGAAGCCTATGGGAAAGGGCGTCGCCTTCTTGAGCGCCTCCAACTCGGCCGCGATCTCCAGCAACTGTTTGCGTTCGTTGAGTAGCGTCTGTTGGATCATATCTGTGGTCCACTTCTGGAGCTTCTGACACACGAAGAGGTTTCGTTTGGTGCAGTTCTCGTCGTCCCATTTGCCCACTTCGGACGTCTTGGGCAGCATCTGAACGCACCTCTCATTCGTCAGATTCGTGGGCATCCCTTTGGCCCAATTGGTGTAGGGGCCCACGTCCACGTTCTCTGTGGTCCACTTGAACACATCCCCGACCCGGTGGGCGCCGATCCACACGTCGTCCACCACTTTGCGCTTCTCGAAGACCAGTTGTGTGAGGAATGCCTGCTCTTCGGCCGTATGAATGGTGACGAGCGTTGCGCTGTTGTTCTCGCAGATGGCCTGAGCCGAGTCGTACGCCTGTTGGCCCACCCCGTCAAACACGTACAGACACTTCTCGTCCCGATAGGCGTCCCAATCGCCGCACACCCCCTCACCTCTCGTATGGCATACTATGTGACAATTGATATAGTGGTTCATTAAATGGCATTTCTATTGTCATATGTATTTCCTTACGTTTATAAGCGAATAATAGTGCGAATAAAAGTGTGTTTAACGAGTTCATGGCTAAGTTTTGTGTATTGTTTTTCAGTCTATTTGTGATATATTTATTAGTTTTTATTGTGGAGACAAAGGATTTAATTTTATACCAAATACCCTTTATCATTTAGTTTAATGATTGGTTATTTACAAAACGGTTAATGTATGATAATTGGTAATCAATTATTCAGTGTTGGCGTTTCATATTATTTTAAGTGGAAATAATATTATTAACCACTTGTGAAATGATAAAACTATTGAAATCATCCAATAATCGATTGAAATTGATTTAATAAATGATGCTTTTAACACTAAACTAGATAATTGCAATAGACATGAAGTCATTGTTTATCAAACATAACAAAACAATCAAGGTTCATTGTAGAAATTTCCAGTTAGGAGTATTAATCATCTATAGTTTAATGGCGAATATGTGTTAATTTGACGAAGGTCCATATTATTCCAGTGAATTAATGTTACATTTTAATGTAGAGTATTTGAATAGATTTGATATAAGTTATATAATATAACAGTGAACTTTGAATATAGATTGGCATTTCTAATGAAATTGAATAGATAATTTATTTACTTATTACAAATTATTTAAATCATTATCAACTACTTTAGTGATTGTGCATGATAATTTTTTCTTTTAAACTGCAATATTTATTACAAAAATAAAGTGATAATTATTAATAAATTAGTCACACTATCAGTGGTATTCATAAACAATTTGGATTTGAATCTGAGCTGGACCTTACATTGCATGTTAGCCCACTTAACTAATCTCATTTCACAAAACCATCTGAACTCTTTATTTGAACAATATCTTAAATTCAGTCCGATGTGGGCCCATACACTTTCATAGGGGAAGCCTACTTACAGGGATAAGTTTGATCGGTATGAGACTTAAATTTTTAAGTTTTAGACGTTGTTTTAAGGTGCAGCTCAGATTAAATGCGTTTCATAAACCAGGTGAGCAATTACTTAACATGTGAGACTCAGCTAAGACTTAAGTCGACATTATGAATACCACTGTATAAGTTATAACTTATAAGTATTGTAAATGTTTAAATATGATGTGAAATAACTCTTTAGACTTACAATGCAAGAACGGCAATTGATATTCAGTTAATTAAATAAAATACACTGGATTATACTCGTATGGTATGGTATAATAGGACTGTCCAGGTCCGGTAATCTAGCGGAATGTCCTTGGTGTCCAAATCTGTGATTATATCGGTCGACGCGCGATAAAAACTCTATACTTTTTGCTGTGAAATACACTCATTCATAGAATTGAAACTCTGACTCGTATACAATGAGTAGTTTAATAGGCTTTTATAGCAAAAATTTATAGCGCGTCGACCGATATAATCACAGATTTGGACACCTAGGACATTCCGCTAGATTACCGGACCTGGACAGTCCTATTATACCATACCATAC